TCTCTAGCAGCACCCCAAAGCCCTTTGGCTCCGACTCCATTTCCTCTTCAGCGGTCAGTTGTTTTCTTTTCTTGGTCTTGTAGCCCATGGTTTTCTGTTTTGTGGCACAAACAGCCATGGGCCAAGGAGCTTCTTTGCGTTGCTCCGTGGGTGGTTGCCTTTTGGCACCGATCCGTATCCCTTCTGTAGGGATGGCATTGAGAGTCAGTTCGGTTGGCTCAATCGGATTGACCTGAGGGAATGCAAACCCCCTAGCCTTTGTAGGTGGCTTCAAAACCCTTGGTGGCATGGTTGCTGCACGCCATGAAAATGTGTTAGCAAAAAAGTCATATTTGGTACAAGGCTAAAAGTTCTTTTGGATATAAGATACTTACGGGCTGGAGCTTCCAAAGATGCCTCAATGCTGAAAATCCAAACTTTTGCAAGTTGGTAGTGGTCACGAGCAGTTTTGCGTCACGACTCTGATCGAGTGAATGACTAAACGCCTCGATATGGCTGAAATTTGCTAGAGCCAACAACCTTGTCGCCTTGTTCTCTACAAAAAAAGAAAAATTCCATTAGTCTTAACTACCAAAAGAGAGTTAAAGGACAGGATAGTCAGTTTGGAAAACAAAAGGCAAAAACCTACTCGGCTCCCTAAATTTACAAACGCCATCATATTCGAAGTAGAAATATTTTGTGTCATAAGCCCCAACGTTGCTGGGATAACCAAATATCCCTCCCTTAATCGTAGATCGCTTCGAGAGATGGAAAGAATCATTGTCCTTGCTTTTCTTTAAGTAGTAAGCGCATGCGAGTTCCAACACTGTTAACTCGCCAAGTTCGTATTCGTAGCATGCGATATATATAGCAATCACTATCATATACGCATTGGGCGTCAGTTGGAATGACACGACCTCGAAGTGGTCGAGGATCGATCTAATGAAGGGGTGAAAAGGTATTGTCACCTTGCATTTGCAGATTGCCTCTAAGATCACAACCATTCCCTCTGGAGGTTCCTAAGCGGTGTGCAACCTATGCTGGTAGACGTTTACATTGATCACAAACAGGTCCACCGCCTTTTGAATCTCATCCGCAGTGGCTATTGATAGCACCGCCTATGCAGGACTCGTTGAGGTGCTTGGGGGCTGCAAGCTGGTTCTAGCAGTTGCTCCTATCTCTGAAGCATCCATTACTCATAAAGTCTGAAAAGGTGTGACACGAAGAGGTGACTCAGTCTCCGTACGTAGTGTTTTGTACGACGACTCGAAAGAGTAAGAAAAAACCCTAATTTTCTTTCCTTAGCCCCTAAAAAACCCTAAACGTCCTTGAGAACGAGTTCCTAAGGATCTGTGCCACAGGTTTTCAATTCTTAAGAGTGTTCCTTTTTTAACACTACCCAAGAATGTGCATCATGTAAAGTTTACCAGGCGTCAAACCCATCATTGTTGTGAAAGAACCGAGTTTATAACAGGAATAAAAAGAAGAAAGGGAAGAGTTTTCCTTACCTCTTGGTTGCTAGGGATGAACATTTTGTCGTAGCGGTGAGTGTGCATCAACTAGAAGAAAGATGAACTAGTTTTCTGAGTGCAAAAAACTCTATTTTTCTCTCTGAAGATTTGAGTTTTGTGAAAATCATGAAGTGGGGTTGGGGTTTTACAGGGAAGAAGACGACGTTTGGTTTCCTTTGTAAGCGACATTTGGACGAGACGTGTTCTTAGCTGTTGGATGCGACCACGTGTTGTCAATTCTCATGAAGAGTAACCTTCACGCTTTGTGAAGATGAATTGATGTTTCCTTCTGTTGGAGACACCAAGCGTCGGCATGCTTATCTTCACCGCATTGAATGCGCCCTCATCTGTATTTAATGCTTTAAAAAAGAATGCCATTTCAGCATGGCTTGCATTTAATACTCATGGCTAACACTTATTGCGCAAAGACATGTATGTCAGATAAATCTTACTTTATTGATCAGGCCAGCTGTCATGTGCAATAGATAACATCTCAAGAGGTCGTTCGAATGAAAAACTCTTTTTTGTGTATTGAGCTCGAAACGAAGTGACCTTCGGTTTTCGGCGAGAAGTTTCTAAGTGTTTTCAGGTCGAGAGCGATGGGTAAAGTTCGAAGCATGTTGGTATAGCACTAAGCAGGATTTGACCCTAGGTCGCTGAACCTTTAGGCGATGATCATCTCAGGTCGCTTGTGAAGTTCGCCAAGCCCACATCGCAACCTCCACTCAGTTTGCTGGTCAAGTAAAATCATGAACTTCATGTTATTTCAGCCGTTCTCTACTTGTAGCTCAAGCAAGCGATCCTCGGGATGAGTCAAATCATAGCGTAATCATGAAGTTCTCAAAGTTCAAGCCTTGAACCTTAAGAATTGGGGGGCTTCTGTTATGCCTAAAAAATTAGGGTTGATGCAGGCTTACGTGAGCGAGGACTAATCAGAGTTCAAAAAGGCATTGTGTCGTCCAGGCGCTGCTACGTCGTCTAAAGACAGAAGAAGTAAGACTGTCATTAGCTTGGCGGGTGAGTGGCTAGGAGTCACCCACCTGCCCAAGCACTGCACGATTTAAGGATATTTTTCATGCAACCGGCCAATGGGAAGTAGGGTAGGAACTATACGACACCTGCTTGCTGGCAGATCCGTAATCATTACCCAGAAACCTCTTACTATAAATAGAGAGCTCCTCTCTCATTTTTCGGGATTCTAATTCTGATAATAAAAACTCTCTCTCCTTCTCTGTATTTCTGTTTTCTCTTATCGCTACATGCAACCTGATTGTAATCTTTCATAAATAAAAAGACAGTGGACGTAAGATTCGCTTTGAGCATCCAAACCACATTAAAAATCGTCTTCCTCTTATTTATTTCATTTTCCAGTTCACGTGTAATTTCTATGTTTGCTTAACACTTTGCACATGCGAATAGTTTGTTTCAAAATCGAGCATCAACAAATGCATTCAAAATCTCTCTCTCTCTCTCTCTCTCTCTCTCCCCCTCTCTCTCTCTCTCTCTCTCTCTCTCTCTCTCTCTCTATATATATATGCAAGTCAATAAATCTATGGACATGTTTAAAAAGTTGACAGTTGCTGCAAATTGTTTAATTATTCAGTTTTCAAATTTAAGTTACAAATAAACTCTTAATTGTATGTTATAATAAAGTAAATAAAGAATCGCCAAGGGAAATCATTATTATTTTTAATTAATTTTTTTTTTTTATATATATTAAAACCTTAGATATCAACTAGAGAGCGATGCACAATATCCCAATTTCAATTTTTTTATTTTATTTTACTTTAGTATATTTTTTTTTCTTTTTCAATCAAGCAATTGGTGAAAGACAAAACACAAATCCCAACAAGAAGCTGAAGAGCACAATTTTAGAAATCTTATAATTCAGTGCTTTAATTCTAGTTTGGTAAGAATTAATTAATTCATTCAAGAAATGTCCATAATCTTCAAACAACTCTGACCTGTTTATCCTGCCACAATCTCAGATAGATTTTAGAACACACACTCTTTAAACAACTCTGACCTGTTTATCCTGTCACAGTCTCACATAAATTTTAGAAAAAAAAAAAAAAAAAAAACACACACACACAAACATATATACAATATATACATACTCATCCCATTCTTATTAAATTCTAAGAAATTCATAATTATAAATGTATATACTCACCCCATTCCTGTTAAATTCTAAGAAATTCATAATTATAAATATAATATTGTTGATGTGTGATTGAAGCTGTTACAAAGTTTTGGCTTCTTCGTAGACTTGATAAGTGATCTACGTACTTTTCATTGGTACAGAACCACGCATAAACAAATATTAATGAATTTCATGTACTATAAATGACATAAATTGTATGTAATGGTTGGAAAAATGTAACACGTACATTATGCGATGTTGAATTAGTATCCTGTTGAATTTCGTTGAAAATAAAAAATTCCTGTGGTGCATTTTCCATATTAAATCTAAATTCAATTACTTAATTCTGATTGATTCATTTTTGTTTCCTGTTTACTTTCTCCGGCTTTATTGCTTAAAGCCTAAGGTACAAATAAAAGGTGAGAAAATAAATATGGCAGTACTCTAACTACCATGTTTATCTGTCGGCCCTTCAAGTCGTCTTCCTTACTCTGAGACAAACAACAGACACTTAGACCTATCGTCAATGGTTGAATGAACATATGTTGCCTCATAAAGTAATACAAAAATGTGTATATGTCAATTTAATAACTTTGAAATATTTTCCATGTGTCCACATTAAAATATTTTAATATTTTTATTTAATTTTTTGGTCCCACAAATTTGAAAACCATATGATAGAAATTGTACTAGAAGCCCACTTTGTAAGTGGTCTGAAACTCGCCACCTTGTTTCCTCAGCTTCAGGTTTCACCAGAGCTTCCACCTCAATCTTTTAATGAGCTCTGATTTATCAAATTTTAATCATTTATAGTTTGATGGGACCTTTACATACATACATACATACACATACATATACATACATACATATATTTTGATAAAAAATGAACATATTAAATTCAAATCTTCTCGTTTCTCGTTAATTTATTTACAGTTAAGGTTCTATGACTTCAAATTTTGACTTAATTTTTCAATACTGTTTAATTATGAAGCGTTCATAGTTGATGGTTCAACGGTAATAACAAAGATGTATAGTGGAGGATCTAAGAAAATCTGATGTCCCACCTGAAACTTTTGCATGCCGATTGCCATGGAAGTATCATTTTTTTCTACATTTTCTGCAGAAGAAGTTGAAGAACAACAAGAAGGAGAAGAAGAAAGACATGAAAGCTCTATGCACACGTGTGTTTCTGCAGATCTTCACGTGTGAAACCAGAGATTAATTGCACCCACCATGGCCTTTTTTTTTCATTTTTTAATGATCTGATCTCATATTATAAGAAGGAGCACGTAAAGATAAACAATTTAATTGAGAAATAATGATTAAAAAAAAAAAGTGACGACAAATAATCAATATAGAAGAAGAAAAATGAAGTGTCTCAAATTCTCTTTCATCAAAAGTTAATTAATGGGATTAACATTAATATTAATACTAATATTACAGATGTAGATCCAAACTCACATGGTCTTGCCCGTTTGGTTTCGACTCATAACCGAACCGCCCTTGCCCGTTGGAGCCGCCAGTAACAACAACTTGATGAAGATTATGATGATGATGAGAAGAAGAAGAACCTTTCAATTCTTCAGAAGCAAACAATGGCAACGGATGCAACGAACGGTCACGATTGAAACTCGCATTACTCTGAACGGCAGGGATTCGCCACAGCCCCAACGGGCTGCCGTTGATCGGCGGTTGTGAACTATACGAGCTGCTATTATGGCTGCCGTAAAACCGAGGAACGTTACTATTACTTGTAGTACTGGTGTTGCTACTCCATGAAGGATAATTCATCGTCGGAGCTGGAGCCGAGCCGAGCCGGTAGTTCATTAAGCCGTAAATATGGGCGTCGGACAAGGAATTGTGCACCATCGTCGATTGAAGATGCGCTCTTTTTGCGTGTTGGCGCTCTCTTTTGTGGGCGTTTTGATGACCGCCTAAGGCTTGAGATGTTGGGAAATTTCTGCAACAATAATGGCACTCGAATCTTCGACTGTTATCTACATTAATGTTATTGATATTATTCTCGTTAATCTCTTTGAGACTGGTGCTGTCTTCGTTATTTGTTTCAGCTGATTCAGAGTAATCATCTCCACCGCCGCTGCCTCCGCCGCCCGCCGATGTGTTATCGCCGGTACCGAATTCTTTACCGAAGAGACGAATGCCCTTTTCTTTATTGACCGAGGGAGGCGCCGGACGGATGAAGGGGAGTTGAGAGAAAGATTCTACGTTCATGAAGTCATGAGTTTCTCTTTCACTAGTCTTGTCCATGAAGCAGACGGTTTAAGTTTAGGTTGGGGTTGGGGTTGGGGGCGGGGGTGGGGGTGTAAATGAGAAAAATGACAAGTTTGAGAGAAGGGAACGAGAGAAAATGGAGAGAGTGGAGGAGTTTGTTTGTTTGTTTGGGAGAGAAATAGAGGAAGAAAATGGTGGGACCTATAAAAGGTGGGAGTAAAAGGAGGAAGAGGAAGAGGAAGAGGGGCAGGGATTCATGAACAAATGGGGGTGACCCATATCTGAGTCTGAGGGCTGACAAGGCCACAAGTTCTGGTCAGACGATGAGAGTTGAGTTTGGGTTCTCGAAGTACCATCTTTCACTTATTTTTTCTTTGTTTTGTTTGGAAACTTCTGTCATACACCTCCTAACTTCCACCTATTTATGTTCTCACCCCATAAGGATTACGGCAGGCAAAAAATACTTCCGTGCAACGGCTGTATGTACAATCAGCCAATGAGAGCATACATGTATGTATGTATGCTAATTTGGCACATCCTTATTGGTTAATTGTATATGCTATAATACGCGTACTAATATCAGACATCCTCATTAGCTGGTTACATATATAACAGATTAATATACAACTACGGGTGTACAAGTATATCATGCCTTCTTATTGACTGATTATATGTGCATTGTTGCTTAGGTGAGATGTACTCATTGACTAGTTATATATATGTACATCCGCTATACAAAACACGCACACTTGTGTAAGACACCCTCATTAATTGGTTGTATGTATATCTATTATATAAAAGACATACTCTTATAGGAGAGACATCGAATTTCATGTATATTACTGTCATGAAGGATCAATCTCCTAACAAACTAGTAGAAGCTGTTAGGTTTAACATTCAGTAATCAACAACAATAATAATATTCAGCTACTCTTAATTTAATATGAAATGATGAAGTAACAATAGTATCAGTGCTGATATTGATCAAAGAAGTACTGTTATTATTAATATTAATTAATGTATTAAAAATTGTCCGGTTTTGGCATAAGATAATGTTTTTGCCTCTTGGTGGTTCCAAAAATCAAACCCAAGAAAAAAAAAAAAAAAATATTAGTGTGGTACCACCCCATATATAGGTTGATAGGTGGTACTAGTAATTAATATCAATGGGCCTCTCTTTTGCTTATTATTACATCTGAATTAATTTATACCACAACTATCAATTTCTAGAATAAGTTTTGTCTATTTGAAGTTTAAACAGTTAATTAATTATCATAAAATTAATTGAACTTGAATATCATACCTGATATAGCAAAAAAAACTCTTATAGTTAATTAATCTTAATTTGTTCTTGAATATTGATGATCAATCAAAGAATATGATTAATTGTTTAGATTTTTTTATTATTATTATGAAGTTAGGTGTCCAGACCAGCTTACGTATACCTCGACTAATCTTCATGACAAATTATCTCACAACAACCCTTCACCACGTTTTCTCGGGTAAATCATCCCCTCCCCCCCCCCGGGGATAAATCATAGGTAATGGCACCCTCAAGTAAATCATAGGCAAAGGAATTAAACCTAAGACTACAGGTTGAAGCTATGGACAACCCCTCTTGGTTCGCTCTTATCGTTAGGTTACTCATAGGTGGGTGGTTGTTCAGATTTCAGAACTCCAGGATTGCATTTTTCTTTTATATTTTAAATTATGTTAAATATCAATTTTAATTACCAAGTTGTATTATATATATAATTCGTCTTTCCCGCAAATGCTTGTATTTTTTTTTTCAAATGCAAACCTCGTTAATTAGTGATACTAAAATTTGGTATAGTCGATTAACTGTAAAAATTACATTAAAAATGATGAAAATTTATCTTTTAACATTAGTTACAATCGACTGACAGAAGATTATACACTAAAAGAAAATTTCCATTATAAATATTATTTTCAAATTATTAATGCTTTTATTTTCTTCTTTATTATAGCAAGCAACACATGTTCCCTTTAGATCTTATTATGGTGTTAGTTAGCAATTGAAGCACTTTCAATTTCAAGCACCTTTCATGAAAGAACATTACATCAACTAATCGGTCATGTGTGTTGTTTAGGTCTGAAATGGTCTATTCTAAATGTTCATCATTTTCTTAATTCAATTTCTTCGATTGGACTATTACTCATTTTCCCACCTCATTTTATCATAATATTTCCTTTTAAAATTTCTTAATTTACATTTATTTATTATATCCAACTATATACACTTTCTCTTACATGTTCATGAATACAAAAGAAAACTTACTCTTTCTATATATCATGCACGAAAATTCTCAATTATAAACATAATGTTTGTGTTTCTTAAAATATGAACTTTTGCTTATCGATAAAAAAAAGTTTTCGATAGGAGAAATTTTAACTGAAATCTTATATTTTAACGTTTATCAATTGTATAATAAATTGTTAACCGATGTTGGTAATCTTACTCTTTTTATATATTATACACGAAAATTCTTAAATATAAACATAACATTCGTGTTTTGAAAATCTAAACTTTGTTTACCAGTTAAAAAGTTTTTGATAGAATGGAAAACTTAAATAGAATTTTGTTTTTTTTAATATTTATTAACAAGATAATAAACTATTAATCGATATTGAAAACAAGATCCGTATTTTAATTTAATAATAATAATAAGAAGAAAACATGTAGTTGCATCCATCAGTCAACACTTAGTTTTCTCAGGAGGAAAATGACCAGAATTTCACTGGTAATTAAATAAATTTATCCATTTATCTATCGATCTATCTCTTTATTATCAGCTTTATTTAAAATTTTATTTTTTCCTTTTCTTTATTTCTCTTTCACTGTGAAGCAAGCTGATGATGATTCATTTAACCCAGAAAAATTCTCTCTCCAGGACCAAGTGGTACTCAAAGTTGGTGCTGGTTCTTTATGGCTGTTGGCTGTTTTATATCTGTTGCAGGGATTTTGCTTAGTAGAATTGTGGTCCTCAGAAAAATTAACAATAAAAATTTTAACCAGAGACATTGTTGTTTTATTACGAACGTGGAGAAGACAAACCTAATCTTTGTATGTATTTACATCTTTCTCTTCTATCTATGCTATCGAAGTACACCATTTCTCTTTTCTCTCTTCCTTCTTTTATTTCCCTTTAATATTTATATTATTTTTTAATATAAAATGTGATAAATATGGCGTTTTATATTACAAATTTGGACTTATTTCAGGGTATCACTTAATTATTTAAGTATATTAATAATAATGTTTAAAGAAAATAGAGAAGTTTTCGACGGAGTGATGCTAATGTTGATTAAATAAAATGAGATCCTAACTGTATTTATTTTATTTATCATGAGATTGGATGATTTTACAAATATTAAATGCCTATATATGTATAAATTACTTGTATCCACGAGATTTTAATTTGATAATACATACAAGAAGAGACTCTATATAACCATGGTTCACGTCATTTTCCTTCACATTCCCATGAATAATTACTAGACACTAAAAATAAATAGTAATTAATTATGCCACGTTTCGACACTAAAAAAAAGATGCCGACCTTAGTAAAAAAAAAAAAATTCAAACATAATTTTTATATCAAAAACTATAGAAAGTTTATCCTTTAATGTTCATGACTGTTAATTAGTAGAGGTTTATATTTTAAAAGCTTTAAGATGTTTTTACATATGAAAATTTTCATGTTTATATATATTTAGAGAGAGAGAGAGAGAGAGGAGAGAGAGGAGAGAGAGAGAGAGAGAGAGAAAGAGAGAGATTGATCAAGTTTATAGATTCGCCCTCAAAAACGGGGTGTTTGTCTAAGCTTACGAAAATAGCTTATAAGCAACAAGTACTTATAAGCTAATTTTAGCTTATAAGCATTTGAATTTTAACAATTACGTGTTTGGTTAAAGTACTTAAAAGTGACTGATAAGTAGTTGACGTGTTTGGTAAAATGTGGCTTATAAGTACATTTTATTAAAAATGACTAAAAAAGGTATTACATTAAATAACGGTATACTATGAAATTTTAAAATTAACCAAGGATAATGTGGTATATACTTGTTCAAACTAACTTATAAGCAGAGTGCTATAAGCAAAAAAAAAAAAGTACCTCCCTCCCAACTTATTTTTTTTGGCTTATAAGCTCAACTTATAAGCTCAAAAAGATATAAACAACAGATCAGCTTAATTTTAGAACTTATAAGCTAGTTTGACCAGCTTATAAGTTTAGACAAACACCCCTGAAGTTCTGGTCCCGGGGATAATATCAACCACTTCACATCCACCTAGCCCACCTATATATTGGATATTTAATAATGAACACATTTATTAGTTGGAAGGTCCAGAGAAAAATAGGAAAAGTTATTTCCTATATATATATAATATATATATAATATATATTTATATTATATATAGATATATATTATATATATATATATTTATATATATTATATATATTAATCTATATATATATCGAGAGAGAGAGAGAGAGAGAGAGAGAGAGAGAGAGAGAGAGAGAGAGAGAGAGAGATAGGTTCGCTCTCGGAAACATGAAGTTCTAGTCCTAGGGTATAATATCAACCACTTCACGTCCACTTGATGCATTGACTATGGTTATTTTGTATCCTCTTTTTATTTTGCTTACTATACCTGTTGTTGTATATTATAAACCATATTGTCCTTTTCGGTCTTGTCGAGATAAATTTGACCCCATCTCTTGTTATCATCTACGTATATTGGATATTTTAATAAATAAACATCTTTATTAGTCGCAAGATCCAAAGAAAGAATAGGAAAAGTGATTTCACTATATTTCTGACCAAGAATTGGTTTATCAAAAGACTTGTTTTTTTAGTGAGTCATATATATATATATAAGCAAAAGGGTGTTTAGTATTTGTCATTAGAAATTAAAAGTTGTCTATTTATTGAGAACAAAATAAATATTTATTGGTTATAATTAATATATAGTTGAAATGGGAAATAGTTAAGTCAAATTGTTCTTTTTCCTGGTTTCACTTAAGTTAAAGATTTTATCCCCATTTGAG